TCCATCTCTCTAGTGTTGAAGATGGGGAGGGGACAGAGGCAAGTGGGTCCAGTTCACTGAGTCTTAGTGGTCACCCTTTGTCTTTTCTGGCTTGTGCCCATGGAGTCCTGTGTTCCCCTCTCTTGGCTGACTGGTTGTGAGGTGGAGTTGGGTCAGAAGCTTGCCTTCTCCCAGGACTCCTCTGGTCCCTATTTGCAAGCATCCTGTGTTGTTGGCAGGGATGATCTGGGCAAGATGACCTACCTGACCATGTGCATCAAGGAGACCTTCCGCCTCTACCCACCTGTGCCTCAGGTATACCGGCAGCTCAACAAGCCGGTCACCTTTGTGGATGGCCGCTCTCTACCTGAAGGTGAGATAGGGTGGGGTTTGAGGTAGAATCAGAGTCTTATGGTGGATGCTCTCTGACATTCCCAGTGCTGTTGGTCAAAGAAGAGCTCTGGCTTTGTGTTCAGAGGGCTCTGGTTCTAAGTCCTGGCTCTACAACATCTGAGTCAATTCCTTTACCCTAAACCTCTTTGTTCTTTTATGAAATGGTAGTAAGAAGAGTGAGAACCTATGTTCTAGAATTGTGGTCAAGATGAAAGAGACAGTGTTCATCAAGGCTGTCATTTACCAACATGAACATCAACTCCATGCGGGGTGATTGACACTGACTATGAGGCTATGTAGTATGCAACATGTACAATTATATATAGTGGCTTTACAAAGAGTGTCTCAGGCCTGTACCTAGCCTGTACCTAGTCAACACCCAGTGACCGCTAGATTTTAACATCATGATTTTATGAATAACTTCCCAAAAGTTAGTTAATTGAAAATGGAAGGGCTATAACCATCCCTGTTTGTCCCATTTTGTTGTAGGGTGAGATCCCCTCTTCTTTTCCTTTATTCTACAAAAGTCTGTGACAGGTGCTGTGCTCAGTGCTGGGCCTATAGGGCCTAGGCATAGTACATTGCTGAGTGTAGTGAGATGTAAGTGAGGGAGACACTCAAGGATGTGTGAAGGTGGGCCTGGCTGCTCAGAACCTCTGGTCACAAAGCTCCTGTTTTGCCTGCAGGCAGCCTGATCTCTCTGCACATCTATGCTCTCCATAGGAACAGCTCGGTGTGGCCTGACCCTGAGGTACTCCATGTCTGGGAGGTCAGGCAGGGTGGGCTCTTTGGAGGTCATGCCAAGACCTGGTAAGAATTTAATCAAGGTCTGTCTTCTTAGGTCTTTGACCCCCTGCGCTTTTCACCAGAGAATGTGACTGGACGCCACCCCTATGCTTTCATGCCTTTTTCTGCTGGTCCTAGGTAAGAAGAGGCCCAGACCCTCCACACCCTCCTAAGGAAGGGCAGAGGACACTGTGGGGAGAAAGCATCATTATGGGGTGCTCTGTGGTAAGGGGACCATGCTAGGTCCCTATTCCATTCCTGCTTCTGGGAAGTAGGTGGGCTGGCACCTAGACATGCCTCCACCATTTGATTTTGCTGGTTGTTTTGGAGATGGAGTGTAGAGTACTTTTCTGCTTGGGCTGACCTTGAGCCATAATCCTCCAGAGCTAGGATTATAGTTGTGAGCCACTGGTGTCCAGTCTCAAGATCCAGTTCTTAAGCCCAGGCCAAGCAATGCATTAGTCACTTATAGATCTAAAAAGTTACTGGTTTTTGTTGATCATTAAAAGCACTGGATTTCCTCACTCCAGAGCTCCCATAGTTTCATGCTTCTTTGTGTTGCTTGCAACAGGAACTGTATTGGGCAGCAGTTTGCCATGAATGAGATGAAGGTGGTCACAGCTCTCTGTTTGCTGCGCTTTGAGTTCTCTCTGGACCCCTCACGGCTGCCCATCAAGATGCCACAGCTGGTCCTGCGCTCCAAGAATGGTATACACCTCCATCTGAAGCCTCTGGGCTCTAGGTCTGAGAAGTAGGCCTTAGAGAGCAAAGGCCAAGAAAGGCCAGGTTATTTTCCACTCCCTTGGGACTGCCCCCAGACTATATGAAGGGAATTATGGCTCTGTGGCATCAAGAGGCTTATAGTTTGGGAGGGGAGTGGGTACTGATGAACAGTGCCTTGTAAACATGTCTATGTTATTCATGGAGTTTTAGAGCTCATTCATTCATTCCACAAACATTGGTGAACACTCGCTTGCTTTGAGAAGCTTCCTTTATCTCCTGTGATTTACAGTCTTTCTGAAATGAAGCAGAAATGTATCTTAGTGAATGGAATGAAAGTTTTCCCTTGGGAAGCACAGTTACCACCAGGTAGCCTATGAGAGAGGAATAGTGCTTTTCTCCTTATTGAGATACTTCTTTTTCCCCCTGTAAATTTATGCATTCTTCATAAACTGTACAGAATAAAGAATTCTCAAGCAAACCCTCATCAGTGAAGTCAAATGTTTCCCTAGAGTGTCTTCTGCCCCTCCTGGGATGGATTTTGGTGCCATGCCTGTTACTCTCAGCATTAATGTCTCACAGTTGTATGATGCTCTGGACACTCAGGGTTTGACTTGGGAGAAGATGGCAGAGAGGCATCATAGTGGGATTTCCTAGAAGAAAGGAAGTGCCTCTTATAACCAGGCTCTGAATTGTGGGTGTGGAATGAGGGTGTACTGAAAGAATTTTTGGGAGAGACTACCTGATGACTTAGAAGTTTTTTCTGGTAGCCTCTGTGGCAACTGCTTGATGTCTATGGGCACCTATACTTCTAGGACTCAAGATTTAAGGCTACTAGTAGGCTCCAGACATATGTGGAATGAAGGGTATTAGAGACTAGGGTGGGAGACAGGAGAAAGGAATTATAGCCCTGGTGATCACTTGTTGATGTTTCTGTGGTGTTCTGAGGGATGTATGATCTGGACATATATCTCTCCTGCTATTGATTCTTTTCCTTTTGGAAGAAGGCAAATTTGCCACCTGCTCAGTGTTGAAGAATCAGACCTGTTAAGCCCCATTTAGATTCAAACCTCCTTGTCTCCCTGGGACTTGGATGCAGAAGACCCAATCAGAATGGGCTGTCACTCTATGCTACCAAATTCTCCTGCCCTGAAACCTGCATAGACAGTTGTCTGCACAAGTGAAAGTAACTCATCACCTGGGGAGTTCATAATGACATCATACTCCTGGCTAGAAGACAAGTTTAAACTGCATCCATTGTCCCACTTCAATAGTATGGAGAGAGACCCAATAGGTCATCTACAAAAAACTTGAGCTGCAGCCTCTAGACTTTGGTGTCTTTTGACTAGAGCTCCATCAACAGCATGATTGTACTGAGAAATACAGCCAGGAGCTCTAGTGCAAGAGGAGCAGGGGTTGTTAAGGCTGGCACCTGTGAGCCTCACAGATGAAGTCAGCTTAATCCTTCTGCCTACTGTGATCCTGCAATTGCATGTGCATGAGTGTGGGTAGGGTGGGATAGGTGTACAAAAGTGGTTTAATGAATGTTCTATATATGAATTATGTATGTGTGTTTGTACACCTGCATATATGGATGGGCAATACGACTGGATCTTTTCCATTGCTGGTCACACATTAACCCCAAGTACAATCCTACAGTTAGAATATTTATCCTTGGCTGGTCACCAAGAATTCTGAGTTATTCTCGTCCTGTACCTTGAGTAAGGTCTGCATGAACCCTTCTGTGGAACTTGATGAACATTTTGTCTTGATGAACATTCTGTCCATGACATTTCCAGCTCATATTTCTGCCCCATTAATGCTCCCTTCTTTACTTGGTGAAGCACAGAATGTTTCCTCCTCAAAAGAAGACTGAACTATCCCAGTGACCTGGGAAGTCAGGAGCCTGGTAAAGTGATATTGGCTGTAGACACCCATGTGGAGAAAAAACAACTTCCAGGAAACAGAACATGGCAAACCAGGGAGGACACTAAGGACCACTGTTAATGGCATCCAAGACCCTGAACTAGGCGGGGTTTGTGGTGTGAAGGTAACCTGTACTCAGAACCAGCAAGAGAAGCAGCATCTGGTTCTGAAAGGCTATTGGAAGCAAGGACATCTATCTAGAGAATGTGTTGGATTATGTACGGGCTGGGTGCAGCCAAATTCCAGGATCAGAAGCACCAGCACTCAAAAATCCCCAGGTTGAGAGGGTTGATGAAGTCATTCCTTCCTCTGGTGCCCAAACAAGAAACCAGAGGACTGTCCTAGGACTAGACGGTAGGAGAGGAATTCCTTGAGATCTGATATCTCCTCCTATTGGCCAGACCTATTTGGCCACCTAAAGCCCCTTTTGGCTGTTGTTAAACATCTGTCCACTTCACAAGCTTCCTGAGGAACTTCCAGACCTAAGAGTGAGGAAGGCTGACAGGCAACTGTGATGGGACAGGCTGAGTTCCCTTGACTTATCTCATCAAGGTTGTGAGGAGCAGGGACTTCAAGGCCCTCATGCCAGACCAGGCTCAAGGCTGTTCTACTCATTCCAAGAGAGTGTCTACCACTGGTGGTCCTTGAATACAAGAGAGGCCTGCTCTATTTCCCTGGCAGACGAGCGCATCTCCTTTGCATTTACAGAGCAAATCCTTTGTGAAACTTGGCTCCGTGGGAGCCTCAGGAGCGGGCAAGGTGTGAGCTTCACAGTCATCTGGGTGATGCATACTAGAGGTCATTTCAGGCAAAGCTGGGTTCCTGGACCACAGGGCAGACATCACCTCTTTCTTCTTCCTTAGAAGGGACTTGTCTCTTGGGCTGGGAAGGAAGGTGGCTCAGTGGTAAAGCACTTGCCTTTCATGCTCGAGGCCCTGGGTTCAATTCCTCAGCACCACATAGGCAAAAAGAAAAAAGCCGGATGTGGTGCTGTGGTTCAAGTGGTAGAGTGCTAGCCTTGAGCTGAAGAGCTGAGGGACAGCACCCAGGCCCAGAGTTCAGGCCCCACAACCGGACCCCCCCAAAAAAAATAAAGAAGGGACTTGTCTCTTCTGTCTCTCTGTTGCTTTGTCTGTCTCTTTCCCCTTCATCCTTTTCCAAGGAAAGTCAGGTACAATATGAGACACTGGGAACTTTATTGCAAACAGAAGTGAAGATAGAGAGGCAGAGACCATGCAGAAGAGATTAGATGATAGACCAGGTGACAGAGCTACACTAAGCAGAATAATAAGCTTCTTTCTACCTCCTAATTTTGAAGCTCATGAGTATGTTACCTTGTATGTCAAAAGGAACTCTCAAGTTTTAATTAAAAATGGATATTGAAATGGAGAAATTAGCCTGGATTATCTCATGGATGTGATGTAATCAGAAGGATCTCTTAGAAAAGAGAAAGAAATGTAAAGACACTAAGAGAGAATTTTTTTCTAAATCTTTATTATTTTTCTAAATACAGTTTTGCACTTTGTTTGGGGTTGGCTTAGGCACCACAGATGTGTACCACCACATCTGGCTTTCCTGGTGAGATGAGTTCTCACACCTGCCAGCTCCTGAGGCTCCCACGTAGCCAAGTTTCACAAAGGATTTGCTCTGTAAATGCAAAGGAGATGCACTCGTCTGCCAGGGAAATAGAGCAGGCCTCTCTTGTATTCAAGGACCACCATTTCTCACGCTAGAATAGGGTGTGGTGGACACTGTCTTGGAATGAGTAGAACAGCCTTGAGCCTGGTCTGGCATGAGGGCCTTGAAGTCCCTGCTCATCACAACCTTGATGAGATAAGTCAAGGGAAGTCAGCCTGTTCCGTCACAGTTGCCTGTCAGCCTTCCTCACTCTCACTATCTGGGATAGAATTGTGGACAGGCACGAGCCACTATACTGGGGGTGGAGAGGGAGACAGAAATTTGGAAAGATGCTAGCTTTAAAGAAGGAAGAAAAAGTTAGTTCTAAGAAATACAAAAAGTGCAGCTCTACACTGGCATGTGAAGAAGGGTTCTCTTCGAGACTTTCCAGAAGGCTGGCCACTTTAATCAGCTCGGTTTTCTTCCAGTGATAGCATTCCAAACATCTGAGCTCTCGAAGTATAAGAGAAGAATGTCCTGTTATTTCATACTGCTAGGGCTGTGGTACTTCACTACTACAACAATATAAATTTATATAGAGGAAAATAAGAAGAGAGAAAGAGAAAAGATTGGAAGGCAGGCTAGTGTTCAGGGTCAAATGAACATTCTCAAATGCAAGCAGTGGGACACAGTAGACAGACAAACAGGTAAGGAGCCCCTAGAAAAGGGTGAGAGATAGAAAAGAAGAAAGGTAGGAAACTAGGAGACAGGATGAAGGCAGGTAAGAATAAAGGTAGGTGTACAAGACATGGCAGACAGACTGGAGACAGAAACAAGACAAGAAGACAAAATGGTAATCAGGAGACCCTTAGAGACTTTCTTGTTCCTACCAGGGTTAGTGGAGCTTCCTGAGACGCAGGTAAATCCCATTCTTGGACTTCAGTACAAGTCGAGGTTGGAGGATGGGCATCCTGGTGGGATCTGGCAGCAGCTCAAAGCGGAGCAGAGTCAGGGCCACAACCACTTTCATCTCATTCATAGCAAAGATCTTCCCAATGCAATTCCTGGATCAGGCAGAGACAGTGAAATGGGAAGTGGTTCAGGCTATATTCTGAGACTGGGCAGGCATTGACCACTGGCTTCCAGTCCAGCCTAGGGACATCAGGGCCCTCCCTCATGGACAAAACTTCACTCTTGTGGGGCTTGAACTCTGGGCCTGAGAGCTGTCCCTCAGCTCTTCAGTTCAAGGCTAGTGTTCTACCACTTGAACCACAGCACGGCTTCCAGTTTTCTGGTGATTAATCGGAGATAAGACTTTCCTGCCCAGGTTGGCTTTGAACTGTGATCCTCAGATCTCAGCCTCTTGAGTAGCTAGGATTACAGGCGTGTGCCACCGGCGCCCATCCAAAGCTTCACTCTTTCCTTTACAAGTCACACATAGACTTCTACCTCAGATGTTGGTCTATGCTGTCCTGATGTTTAACAAGGCTTCCCAGGCTTCCGGGGCTATCCTACCCTTACTCTTGATCTTAGAAGCATGAAATCTCTGTTAGGACAAGACCAGCACAGAGTCCAGTCACATGAATTTAAAGCTAACCACTGCTTAGTTCACTAACCAGGAGCTGAGTTCCTCAGAGGGGAATCATGTCAATGGGCGACCACCTAGAGAGGGAAATAGGTTGGAAATCTTCAAGTGGCAGCCTCATCTGTTCCCCTCTCAGTGGTCAGGCTCCAGAACCCCTTTAGTTTCTCAGTCTACAGTGTCTGAAGCCTTCTACCCCATTTGAAAGGTCCTTCTTTGCTATCTTTAGTTTCTTGTTCTCCCTGATTTCCTCCCTCCTGGAGGCTCCTCCCTCACCTTTCATCAGGTAGGACAATGTCTGAGACCAGCTAGCTGATCCCTTCTGCCACCTGCCTCTGTCACTCTGGCCCTATTAGTGCTTTATTGAAGGATGCTCCATAGAGCCTAGACTGTGCCACGGACATGGAACTTTCCAAAAACTGCTAAATGAGTGATTAGAGAATATGAGTGAAGGAAGAAATGATTTCTGTCATAAGCGTGGGTATTTGTCTCTGTGGGTTATATTTCTGAACTCTTGAATGCAGGGACACTATCTTTCATCTTTGTGCTCCTATAACCCAGCACAAGATCTGGCTCGGAAGCTGGTTTAATAAGTTCTTGTACATTTGCGTTATATTAATTAATTTCACTTGTTCTTAAAATTGAATTGATGTAATAATCAACAAGCATAATAGATAAGAGTACAACAAAAGCAGAAATCAGTTCTGACCTGAAGATTGAGCTGCCTAATAATCTCTTGTCCTTGCAGGTTTGACTTATTGCCAATATAGGAAGGACTCCTCAATTTACCATTTGAAGAATGTACAGAAATGTGGCCTCAGAAAGACTTGTTCTTGGGGCTGGGAAGGTGGCTCAGTGGCAGAGGGCTTGCCTTGCATGCATGAGGCCCTGGGTTCGATTCCCCAGCACCACATAAGCAAAAAGAAAAAAAGCCGGAAGTGCGCTGTGGCTCAAGTGGTAGAGTGGTAGCCTTGAGCTGAAAAGCTGAGGGACAGTGCCCATGCCCGAGTTCAGGCCCCACAACCGGCCCCCCTCCAAAACAAAGAAAGACTTGTTCTTCCTAATACCTGTCAAATTGTTAGTGAGTTGTGTCCCTTTGGATGGTTTCTGCATCTCTTGATGAGTTTTCAGGGTAGTGATTTTAGAGTGTCCTTTTTCAGATTAATAGTTATTTTGAGTGTGCTTTATATTTTACACACCAGGAATATTTTGAATGGTATGTGTTATATTCAAACAGTGTTTTTCTCTCAAAGGCAGTTTAACTACTCCCTCTTTTATGCTTTTTTTGCCTGAAGCTGGATCATATGTACTCTAAGTGTAATCTCAGTGTATATAGATTTTATTTCACCTGTCAGGTTTAGACAATTGGAAGTATTGTAAAGGGCCTGTGAAAATTACCATACAGTAAAAATGTGTCTTAGAAGAGAATACAAACATGGAGACAAGGCACATTGGTATAAAACACTGTTCAGGGACTACTATAACATGTCCATGACAGGCATCCAGGCTTATTTATGCCCAGGAAAATGAACCCTTTGCTACAGTGATTCTAGGATAGAGAATTAACCAAAATAAGTGATGGGCTGGGTTGAGAATGTGTGGAAAGAGAGAAATGTCCCTTGAAAGAATTCTGGCAACTGAGAAGCACAACAATTGAAATTTTATTTCCAGGAGAAAAGAATTTTCTCCTGGAAAAGAACTTGCAAAGCCCTACCCTTATAGTGAAAGAAAAAGGAGAACACAATGGTGTGGACCATCCACTAACACTGGAATTTGGTGGCCACTGGGAAAGCTAGTGAGTCAATGTCACCATGGTCTGCCCTGAACTTACACGTTCTTGTTGTGTACAAACATACCCAAGTGAAGAATCTTTCCCACAAACAGCAACAAACAGAGGCATGTCTGAAGATGTCATATATTAATTGAGAGTTTACAAGCATCAAAACTTTAATACAAGTATACCCTCACCTTCATTACTCCATTACTTCACAAAGATGCCTCACCTTGATCCTCCTGAGAAGGGTAGGAATGAATGGCTGTGTCGGACAGAATCGGGTGCAAACCGAAAAGGGTCAAACACCTGCAGAGGGAACAGCAGGGCCAGGAAAGGTTGGGGTCAAGTCCATGCTACCAGCCTATGATGCAGGACACCCAGGGGTGAGAGCAGGAGAAGTACTGACCCTCTCCTTCCAAGGTTTTCATACCTCTGGGTTTGGCCACACCTTTGGGTTGTGATGAAGGGCATAAAAGGAGAGTGTGACTAGGACACCTGTGGGATAGAGGAGATAGACAGAAGAGCGATTATACTAAAGGGATGGTGTGGTGGTCCTTCAGCCGGAGTATGCATGCATAAAAGATCTGGGTGCCACAAATCATCATTTTGAAAAGGATGATTCAGATACCAGAGAGGAAGGTAGGCTTGGCAAATACCTGAACACAACTGAGAAGCAGGAAACAAGGAATCCAAAAGAGGTAAGTAGACTAAAGCACAAAGGATAAAGAATTATTTTTGAAGTAAATCAGATGAAAGCATACATCTCTGTATAAAGGATTTCCACTGAGAGGTATTAATTCATTCAGACCTTCCAACAGTATTCTAAGGAAGTCATTCTTTATATTCCCAGTTTTTCAGATGAAGCAACATTTTGGAGACAAATTGCCTATGGTATCCCAGGTAAGAAATGGCAGGGCTAGGATTTAGACATAATGAGGTATAAATTAAAGGGTCATGTCCTGCCATTGTAAGGGTTTCATATCCAGTCATCAGCTGTTCTTTGCATTAACCTGAGGGCTCCTTGGAGACTAGACCACCTATGACCCATGACATGAAGTTCACTGATTTCACTCCTCTGTCCTGACCCTTGAAAAGAATCATATCCCCCTTGCACCTGTCTGATTCTCTACATCTCAGTGAATAGAAATGGCTGAAGTTATGAGCTCATGTCCACAGGCGAAGACCTCTTTGTGGAGAAGATCCCCCAAACTGAATTATATCCTGTTTATGCATCTATATAGATAAATCTTTTCATGGTAAACTAAAATTCTCATACATTATATCAAATATAGAGAATGAAAAAAGAGGTGACAATGAGGATAAACAAGGAACAGGATGGCCAAGAATCCTATATATTGGCATCTACATGAGTGTGGTGTACTTAGAACCACAGGATGTCAATGCCTCTAAAGTTGGATTAACTGAAGCATCATCAGACCATAGATTCTAAGGAAAGAATATTAGCTGAAGAACGAGAGAACCTTACAATGCTAACCACATGGAATAATAGAACTGGAAGAAACTTTATAGGCCATTTAGGCTTATAACTCACGTTGGAAAATGTACTTTATGAGTAAGAAGTACTCATTTACTGACAAGGTAATGGAGACCTGGAGAAGTTCATAACTGCTGAGAAACACATGGATTTTGAGTTTCCTTCTTTCCTGGGAAGACTGGGTGAGTGAGTCTGGGAAGCTCAAACCTTTGGGTAGGGAGCGTCCATCAGGGAAGGTGACAGGTGTGCTCAGCGTTCTGACAACAGCTGGAACTGGTGGATACAGCCTCAGGGCCTCCTTGATACACATGGTGGTGTAGGGCATCTGGTCCAGATGTTCCCTGAAATGAAGTCAATCCTTAGAGGCTTGAAAAGACCAGAGAGTCAAGATTTGCTCACTTGCTGGAGCTCTCACTCACCAGGTAACAGAGGCTCCATCTCCCAGGAGGCTCTGGGCCTCCTCCCTGCACTTCTGCTGGTGTTCAGGGTGTGTGGCCAGAGTGTACAAGATCCAGGAGAGGCCACTGGCTGTGGTGTCATGGCCCTCGAACATGAACGTGTCCACTTCGGCCCGCAGGTCCTTGTCAGACAAGCTGCTTCCGTTCTCCATCTGAAAACAGCCAGAGCAAGAGAACAGGATTTGTCACTTGTTCTGGACTTTTGAGCAAGACCTGAGGCATTAGCCCCACAAACTCACTCTGGCAAACAGGAGAATGTCCAGAAAATCCAAACGTCTCTTCTTCTTCAGCTTATCCAACTCTTTCTCATTCTGTAGTTCAATCTTCCTTTGCTTGATCACTTGATCTGTATAAGGAAAGACAGGCTTGAAATACAGCAAATCCTAAGAGGCCCAAAGGAGCCTTGCTTCAACCTGTGTGTCTGTAGAACTCAGGATGCTTGTAGAAGTTAGTGTTCATTTGTGTGGGCAGGGTTGAGAGTCCCTCACCATCTGATGTAGGTGAGGACTCCTTTCAGAACCTCAGCCCATGGATGCTCTGCTTGGGCTGCTGGGCTGGGTCTCATTCAACGTCACCAATGTGCTGGAATAGGTAACTCCTTACAGAATATCTGACATCCAAACATCTCAATCCCCAACACTTGTGCTAAGGAAGTACCCTGCAAGGAATATGGCCCAGGTGCTGAAGAGGCACCAGTGAGCCACCCTTGTGTGAGGGGTCATGGGAAGCCTGTTTGATCAGTGCCTAGTGAAGAGGGGAGACAAGAGAGATCCACAGAACCTGTGTGCTCATGGGCGATTTGGCAAGCCTTGTTGTTTGTGCGGCCATTAGTGGACAGACTGTACATGATGTCGTTCTGGTGAAAGATATTCCTCACACGAGAATGAAACAGGTCATTCAGATTTCCAATGGCCTTGATGTATGTCTGGGATTTCCTGAAGGACATGATGTAGAACACAATTAGATTGTAGGAGGAGTTCTGATTGTAAGTAGAGAGACTGTGTGTGTGGAGATTTCCCCAATGTGGGGACAGGCGATACTGAGACACCAGTAAGTTTTCTTTTACATCCTTTGTAACTTTTAGGCCTTTAAAGAATTGTCAAAAGCAGCCAAGTTTCCACCTGTGCTAGGGATCAGCAGTGCTTGGTTGGGATAAGGGTGGGTCAGGTCTAGAGTTAGAGCTTGGTCTAGGCCTGGGTCAGAAGCTAGAATTTTGTTTGCAATGGAGGTGAGCATTTAAGCTGGCACATTTGTCTTTCAGGTGAATCCACATCAGTTAGTAAGATCAAGAACCCTGTAGCTCCAGGGTTGTTACTGACCTGTCTAACTGGACGCTGCCCTGATAGCTGAAGGCACATTTCATGATGGTGTCCAGGGTCATCAAGGAGATGTGTTGGAAGATCTCTAGAGGGGAGTCTTGTCCACTGAGCTTCTCCCATTTGTCCTGTGGGAGGAGAGGACACTGACTTTTCAATTTTTCCCAGATGACCCTGTGTTATATTTGGCTCTTTCTCTGTCTTTAGATACTCTCTTCCAAGTCTCTCATTTAAGTGAGGAGACACACTACAAATTTTAAAGCAAATGTAAGTTAAATGACACTGGTATTCTCACAAATTATTTCAGAATTTAACAAATTTAGCTGCTAGCAGTTAAGGTAAAATATTTTTTATATGACAAGCAACTTTCTTTTTTCCTTTTTTTTTAAAAAACAAGTAAAAAGGAAGAAGACACATTAGTGTTCTGAGTGGTGAGGCTGATTTCAGAGACTAATAAAACTACCATTGAAGGAGGCAAATATATCAAGACATAAGAACACATATGACCATTATAGGGACTTCTAATTTGTGGGATTGGCATAAGGACTTTGATTTCTGGCAAGAGTTTGTTAAGAACGACTGGATCAGAATTCAGAGCCCTGTTGAGAGGTGATGGTGTGGCAGGTTTGGCAGTGAGAATGTGGACTTGGTGTTCATTTTACTTCATGGGCTATTCAAGTGCATGCAGAAGACCTGGGCTCCAGGCTCAACTCATATTGCGTGGCTGCCTAGGGAGTCTGCACTGCCTCTGACAATGCCACTGTTCAGTTAAGACCAGTTATACAGTCCTACTGTCTGGCTGAATTGACTTCTCCTCCAGTCCACTGTGCCTTAAAAACTTGGATGTGGGAAGTAGGGCCTGGAAACATTGTAATGCTCTTTGTCTTGACAGTGAGCAAAATGATCTAGTGACTGGGTCATTCTGTCCTATGTTTGGGAAATCTATTCTCAAAGTTTTACTTGATAGTATTATTGTGTAACACACATATTTCAAAGTGGATTCTGAAAGTACATGCTAGATATGGGTTTGGGAAGTGAGAAATGGAGGGAGACAGAGACAGAGAAAGACAGAAACAGAGCCAGCCAGCCAGACTCACCAGCATCACTCTGACAGAGTTTGCTGTGGTTTCCACATAGGGCTTCAGGATGTCATAATGGAAGGCTGGGGTCAGCATCCGCCGGTGCTGGAACCATGTCTCCCCATTCAGCAGGAGCAAACCATACCCTGGGCCAGAGATGGGTGTGTTGAGATGGGACTGATTTGGGAGGAACCATAGGTTGGAACTGGGAAACACAACCCTGAAGAAGGTGGAATTTCTTAGACAAAGGAACACCATTTCCTAATTGGGCTGGGACACCTGATGTGACTATAACAGCTGTGAGGTAAGAAGTTTAAAAGGAGTTGGGGGCAGATCAAGGAAGGACATAAATCAATGTCAAAATGTTTTAGGAAAGTGAGCAGAAGCTGAGCTTCAGGAGGGCTCATTCTAGCATTTGGAAGGAGTAAGGATCTGGTTAGAAAAAAACAACTTAGGCTTGATTTAGAGATAGTTCATGAAGAGTGGTGGTGTTGTTCTTTGTGAGCTAGAGAAACACTTGGAGAGACTAAGGGCAGACTAACACGGGGGAACCCTAGCTTTGGGTAGACTGTACTCCTAATTTAGATGTACATACCAAGCCAGGGGGCCAGGAATCTGTAGGCAACATTAGCCTTTGGATCTGAAAAGGAAGAAAAGGCTTAACAGGAACCAGCACAAATGAAGCAATTCTGAAGCAGCTGTGGTTGAGGTCATGCGCTGCCATGAATTCCTGATGATTCTGTGAGAGGTACATCGCATGCTTATGTCATCTCCTGCCTCCCATCCTCTTCTGGTTAAATTAGATAGGCCCCATGTACCAGTAACTGGACATTCTCAAGACTGAGTTGATGAATTGGCAAGAAACATAAGTCATATTCTTAAACCAAAGAATAAGCAAGGGCCTTGAATTTTTTTTGCCTCCCTATAGGAGGTGATGATGGCTTAATCATCATCTGACCCAAGACAAGTAAATCATTATGGATTTGTGGTTTGTGTTTTTCAGATGTGGGACAATTTACATATCAAGTCACCTCAAATCAATTAAAAGCAAAGAAAAAAAAGATCAACTTATTTGGCTCCACACAACTGTTTGATATATCTAGTATGATTGGCCATACGCTGATTGTAGATAGGAAGAGCAGGCAGGGTGGTGGCTGAAATCTCTCACTTGCAGAATCTGACAACCCAGGGGCATGTACCAAAGAAGGAAAAATGGTTCTGTCTACAATTAGCTTGTACTCTCACCTGATCTCCCCAGAATCACCTTCATGTAGTCTGGGTCATAGATAGTAAAGAAAGCTTTGCTTCCCCAGAGCCAGCGAGGAAAAGCACTTGGAAATTTCTGTACACATTCCATAATATATTGTACCTCCTGGTCTCCTTGGATCTGTCACCAAAGGAAATAATAGACAAGTAAAAACTTCTGTTTAGTTCTGGTTCTTAAGCTGGAATGAAGGGCAGGACAAACACAGGGACATGAGCCTCCATCTCCATCTCCTCTTAAGCATGGCTGACAGTGCAAGGGATTGATGCTGTCCCTTCCCAACTCTCAGGCTGCTCCTTGTTTCCCTCCTGGATGATTCCACACATCTATGCCTGGCCCTATGTTTGCCCAGGGTACAGGGAGAGCATGATTCATGGTTCCAAGGAGTTGGATGTGGAGAAAAGCACAAGGAACTGAAGAGACCTTTATAGACACCACATGCGTAACATGTCTCTGTGTCCTGCAGGATATCCTGCAGCTGTCCTCTTTGCATGTGCACATGATCTTCAGGATTTCAGCCTATAAATTACATATTCTGGAAATGCTCTCAGTCTGGTGCCAACCTAGCAAGTCAGTCCTTCCTTCTGACATCATCTACCCACTGTCTTCTCCTGCAACAGCACCTGAGAGTCATGTCTGTTGTCACCATACCATGAACCCACAGGACAAGAATCACATCACACTAATGCCATTGTTTCCAGGTTAGCTCTGAGTCTGAGAAACTATAGTCCTTAGGAGCAGAAAGCCTGATATTTGAGAAGAACTAAGGTGGGGCAGGGAATGAAGAGACTCAGGAAGACTCAATCATAGCTCTCCAAGTACAACGTTGCTAGGATAGGGTACAGATCTGCAAAACAGAGGTATGCAGCAGATCTGAATGAATAGCAAGACAAGCTCTTTTGAGCAAATGAGCTCTGTTTCTGGGAAAACAGCCTGAGCAGTAAGCTGGGTGTTTCCTGAGGTCGGAGTGGTAGGGGGCTGCATGCTTGTAACACAGCAGGCTTTGTCTTGTGGCTTGATGATCCATGACTGACAGTGTAGGCCTCCAACCCTCCAATTTCCCTTCCCTCTCCTTCCTACCTTGTCCCCAAAGAGCCAGTGGGATGGTGGGCTTGGAAACTGCTGGAAGGCCTTGAGCAGCCATTGCCTTTGTAGATAGAACTGGACAGCCTTGAACACCAGCAGAAGCAGGACGAGCAAGGAGGTGGCTTGGAGGAGCTCAGAGATACTGGCTGGGAATATAGTGGACTTCAATGCAGAGACACTCATGGTGCAGAAGCTTCTGGATCACTGACTGTGGTAGACTCTCTCTGTGCCCTTTAACTCCCTGCCTTTGTTCTGGGAAGATCACTCCACCCACCAGTGGGAGGGAGAAAGGTGAAGGCTGAGCTTGAGCTCAGAGTCCAGAGTCTTTCTACCTCAAAGAGAGAAATGCTTTGTCATTTCACAATGTCTGGCCTTGACCACATGTACTTAAACTCATTTATTCATTTGTCTGTTTATATATTTTTTCCTTTTCTGGATTTCCTCCTCCTCTTTTCTCTTTTCCTCCTTGACAGGCCTCTGGAAGGCAGAGGCAGCTGAGAAAAGCCACTTCCTTATACACCACCTGTCCCAATTATACACCACTTGTCCCAATCATTCTTCACCAGCACAAAACTGTTCAAACTCGCAAAACAAGTTACATGCTGAAAGCTGACCCCAGCCATACAAATCCTGCTACAACCAGACTCTGCGTGATCTCTCTGATCCCAACCAGGGACTTCACCCAGGAGCGTACCTTAATAATCTTTTCTTTCTTTCTTTCTTTTTTTTTTTTTTTGGTCTGGTCATGAGGCCTGAACTCTGGGCCTGGGCACTGTCCCTCAGCTCTTCAGCTTAAGGCTGGCGCTCTACCACTTGAGCCACA